GATTTTTCCAATCAAAAGATACATGTCATACCATCCCATAGCGCTTTGGCAGATTCAGAGTTCTGAACGGCATGGAACAGCACAGGCCCAAGCAGTGTGATTTCCCTCTGCGCAACAGATACCGAAGAAGAGAAAATAAAATAAAATACAAACGAGAAATGAGAAAAGACAAATGAAAACCAAAATATACGAAGTGAGGAGCGATCGATTTTGACAGCGCTATGGCCAACAGATGAGCACGAAGGGTTCGTCAGACACAGATACTATCACCAGCGTCTTATACAACTACTTGGTACAGATTCGTATGCACCTCTACACCTGAGGAGCGTATCAATATTGTGCTATACCAAACTTTTACGGAAACACACGATAATCTGAGTTATTCGTGACACTGAAGGACTCACCCACACCATTACATAACAGAGGAAAAGCTCTGCCCGACACACTTGTATAATGCCACGGTATAGATATGCCACCCAACGACACACATAGTCACATATACAACACACACACACGATACTCCAACACACCTATATCAATGCAATACACAGCACACCTGTGGCAATACATGACACGCACATATCTTTGAATATCACACTGTGATAGCTAGTGATTTGCACCGTGTTCAGTTGTGTATGTCTGGCTACCTGAACCGTCTGTACTAATACCCGAGACCTCAGTGTTTACACACAATACACAAGTGTCCTTTCACAATACTCCCGTACGACAAAATCATATTACCGATTTTAGGGTTTAGGGTTTTAGGGTTTAGTGTATAGTAATGCTCTAAAACTCTTAAAACCCCACACACCCGTACCAATGCACAGCCCATCTGTGCCAAAACTAAACAACACACATGCACGGCTATTCGAGACCACTGTATTAAGACATAGTGCATCTGCACCACTACACTAAAGGACAACACATGTATAACCATCCCTCACATCTCACTACCTCTGTACTACAATACATAGACCCCTACGCTCAAGTACAACACGTGCATGACCACTCCACAGACCTGTATTCTGGTGTTAGTGTTCTCGATGAAAGCAATGCGTAAAAACAGCAGAAGCTCCAGTAGCCCAAGCACACACGTTGCAGCCGCACTCAACTTGGCAGCCTATTAGAGAGAGTGTGTATAAGATAGATAGATATATATTAAGTATGTATGAGCACATGGGTGGGATGGTCAAGAATACACAACTATAATAAATATGTACATGTTCATCGGACCATCCGTGAAGCTGTAGAAGCGCTTGAATTCATAGTTTCAGTTGAAATATTACATAGTTCTGTATACTTCCTCGTATGCAAATGATTGTGTAGTACAAGCGAGTACCTGTGTGTGGTATAACACTCCAAAGCGAGTGTTCCTTCTAAGATGTAATGCTTCTACTGATACTATTTGTTGTACATTTCTCGATATGTGTGCGCACGTTCACACAGACACGCGCGCAACATGAAACAATTACACACACAAACACAGACACGACACAGACACAGACACAGACACAGACACTGAAACAGACACACACGCACACACACACTCAGTCATACTCACACACACACACACACACACACATATATATATATTTATATATACTATATACACACATATATATATATATATTATT